TGATATATATATATATATTATATATAAGGAAAAAAGAGACATGAACAGAATAGCTTTAATAAATGTCACAGTACAAGAATGACAAGTCATATTTTATATTGTCAAAATAGCTTAAAAATAAGAAAAGAGAGACACAAGATATTTACATGAACAGTATAGCTTTAATACATTCATATCACAAGAAAGAGGCATATTTTCAATATTTCTAAAACCAAAGTAAAACAGATGCAAGCATAGCTTCAATATTTTCATTAGGAAAAAAGACACATAAAATTTTGCACATGAACTGTAAAACTTTTTACATTTAAAACAAAAATGAAATTGTTACAAGAGCAACATAGCTTAAAGGGACAGTAGCGCCTTTCTTTTTAACCAATCATACTTTAGTCTCAGTAACACGAATTTCTTAGCTTAGCCAATCAGTAATGGTGTTCACAGCTCACCATCGAAATTTGAGCCTTCAAATCAATGTGTGTCCAGAATTATCTGCATTTGAATGTTAAAATTATGACTCCTCATTTTAAGATACTCTGTGATATATAGAAAAGACAATATCTAGAAAAAGTGAGTAAAATTCCTAGTTTGAAGTATTTTTAAACAGTTCTAGATGGAACTTCTGAAGACTATTAACATATATTCAACACAAAAATCAATCCCCCAAAATGGCGCATCTGTCCCTTTAAATATTTTTACATCAGAATGAAAGAGACATGGATTTACATTACCAGAATAAACAGCTTTAATATTTTGACATTAGGAAGAAAGTAATTTTTATATTTGAGAAAAGTTATCACATATATTAGCAGAAACATATATAGAACAGTATAGCTAATATAACAAAAAAAAAGTAGATTATATTCAGGACAGGTTGGAAGGAATATTAAAAATAATTTAAAGAGATCATACCTAACAATTCTATATCAGTATTTTGATTCGTCAACTCAAATAGGTCACCAAGACAACAGCAATAATAGGCAGAAGGGGTAAGGGGGGGGAGTAAAAAAGTTTTCAGTGATTCCTAAGCATCAATGGCTTCAATACTCCCTCTGTGGGCATTTTGAATCGTAAAGATATTTCCAAAAGTAGCAAAACAAATCACGGGAGAAAATTGTCATTTTCAAACTTTTTATTGATTCATGGAAAGTAGAACTTCAATGTCCATAATTTAAAATTAGACAAAGCCCTTCTGTGATAATAATTATAATAAACTCTTTATTTTACATGGGTCAGAATTGAAGATGACATAAAGACTCAAGGCAGGAACTTATTCTGGGATTTTAGAGCATTTTTTTTTAAATTAGTTCTATCAAATGTGATATGAAAATGTTATACACAATATTATGATGAAAGCATAAAAAATATTACATAATATAATAAGAGTATCTGTTTCTTATATATGGTAGCTTTAATAATATACACAATATTTCAAATATTGAACATGGTAGCTTTAATATGCCTTAAAGTCAAATAAAGATATAAATGCACATCTGAATTTGATTCTAAACAAACAAAACGGTCTAGTTTGATTCAAGGACATAAAACTATGTTGAACAACACAAAAGGGACTCTTCCTGTCAAGTTCTTGAAACATCTCAGAATGTACACAAATATTCTCCATTTTTCATTTTTTAAATACAAGCAACAATGTTTCAATATTCCACAAAGTTATAACAATACATTAAATAACATTTTTTAATTCAACATGACAGTGTTAACAATTTCAATTATCTACCCCATGATAGCTTTAATATAATAAGACACAATTTTCATTTTTTTTATAAGGAACCTAAAAAATTTAGAGAAATAACAGTTCCAAGAATTTACATAGAAACACTTTTCATTCAGCATGTTAGCTTTAACAATTGTTAAAATTCTATTCTTAAAAGAGCTCAATCATAATGTCAAAAACAAAACAAATAATTTAAAAATGATAAAACCCTGTCAATTTAAAATTAATTATTGATTTCTCAATAATAGAGTACATTGTTTAGATCAATGGTGGCTCACTGCTATCGTGTCACAATCTGCTAGCTAGCTTGACACTATAATTTATATCAATGGTGGCTCACTGCTATCATGTCACTACCTACTAGCTAGACATGAAATCAATTTTTCGATAACCCTTTTTTATCATTTAGCACTTTAGAGCTTATCACAAGATTAATGAGGGGAGAAAATGAAAGATATATATAATATTTTATAAGATTCAATAATACTAACTACAATAAAAACAAGTCACGAATAGACAAGGTATGGTGTCTGGTGCAGTGTATGGTGTCCGGATAATCGATACAGTAGAAAATAGAAGAATTGAACATACATGATACAAGCCCTGAAACAGTGTAGCCACAATTATTTACAAACTAAATATGTATAAATGTAGAAACAGTGTCTGATGTGGAATAAACGGTACAGTAGAAAGAACTAAAAGTGAATTGTGGCCACACCATGTCTGGACCTGTACATTGTGTATTTACTTCTGCATCAACAATCCCGCATGGTACCTTGTCTATTCCTGGTATAAAGGGATTATATTTTTGTTCCATCAGGATAGCAACAATAACAAACAAATATAAAAAAAAAAGAGTCTGGTTCCTATATTTCTGATTAATGAACACATGCAATGCCATGCAGTGTGCAATGAGAGAAATTTTTTCTCATGACATTAGGAGCAGATATTTCTTATTTTTCCTCTTTAACGTGTAGGCTACAGCCTGTAGCACACGTGGCTCCAGTTTATCATCCAATCCTAACTACAAGACACTTATCCATGTCAGTTCCTCAAACCTACATCACTGACAGACGAAAACCAGGTTGAAATTTTATCGACAACAATAACTGAAATATCTTTGTCCAGATTTAACGTAAATAGACAATAATAACAATTAATATCAACAAAAATACTTATACACATAATCATAAAGACATTCATTTCCAAATTAAAACAGAAACAAGAGCAGACCACTTTATCCTTAGATATCAGCAGAATAAATAGTAATTGAAATTTTACAGACTTCAAAAGTTTCTCAAAGAAAAATTAAAACAAAACCTGAAACATGTTTACTTACAATTTCATACTGCGTGATCTTCTGACAAATTCTAAAGATCAAATAGCGTGAAAAATGAAATGAAATGAATGGAGTTTTACGTCCTACTCCCAAATAGCGTGAAACTCTAAGTAACAACATGTTTCAGATTCTGTTTTAATATCTCTCTATTACTCTATAATTGATGTATTAAGCACTATTTTAACAGTGGTATTTCTATATTGCTCTACAATTTATGTATTGAGCAATATTTAAAAAGTGGTATTTCTATATTGCTCTACAATTTATGTATTGAGCAATATTTTAACAGTTGTATTTCTATATCACTGTACAATATTGATGTTTTGAGCACTATTTTAACAGTGGTATTTCTATATAGCTCTACAATTGATGTATTGAGCACTATTTTAACAGTGATATTCTATACTGCTCTACAATTTATGTATTGAGCACTATTTCAAAAGTGAAAATATTTTATACTGTAATCTACTTAAACAACCTATAAAGTGGACTGTTCTTGTACATGTTTTGAAATGGACCAAGATGTGTAGAAATAACTTTGTTGAACTAAACTACAATTTAGCTTAATACAAACCTAATAATAAATAGTTTGTTTTTATTTCGTTGTATTTTTATCATAAAAAAAAACCAAATCTACATAAAACAAAATTACTACCAGTGATATATTTTCAAGATCTCTATTCCTTTAGCACTATTATTATCTCTGAAAATTTATTATATAAAAACTTTCTGATTGTCAAGTTGACAAAGCAAAATAACAAATAAACATTTATTAGCTAAGTAGACTCTCTAGAAGGGATGGCCACATACCAAATAAGTCTTAATATTATGATAAACAAATCCAGTCGAAGCACAGGCATTTGTTTCTATCAATAGTCAACCATCTCTATAATAGTATATAATTATACTATTATAGAGAGAGTCGACAATTGATAGAAACAGATGCCCGTGAGTCGAAGAGTGGATCACAATCTTAAACCATTTTTTTCAAACTTCAAACAAACAATTCAAACAACGAATACACCGGTCAAGGTAATTAAAAAAAAAAGCACATCTGTTTAGAACAGTGGTTCCCAACCTTTCTCAGCCTTTCATATCCCCCAAAATTTGTTTCATCCACATTTTCAGCATTTTTTGATGTGAGTTGTTCTCTCAATTCAAGACAAATTCTTCTTCTACACCAGTTGGCCACACCTCTGACACCCTAGTCCCACACCCCCTGGGGGTGAAAATACCCCAGGTTGGGAACTGGGGGTTTAGAACATATGTTATCGATATTAATTCCACACATTTTAAACACTAAAGTGACTGCACTGGTCCAGGAATCCAACTGTTACAAGGAATAGCACAGATTTTTTTCCAAAATACAAGTTTGAGACATTAAACATTAATTTCACCTCCCAACAGCACTGGTCAAGGCCACCAAAGTTTTAAAAGCATAAAGCCTATATACATTAAATATCAATATAAGTTTTTAAAGCAGGATTTATATTTATGCTTCTTAAATCTTAACCAATCAAATTCCTTAAGATTCAAAATTCAAATTCATGCCATTTGATTGGATAATATCATTAGTTTTAGGAATTTGATTTCATCTGAGCAAATCATAAATATAATAATGTCTTTCAATTGAGACGATGATTTTCACTGATCCATCTGTTGGAATTTATTTCTTATTTTTACGCTTTCAATTTCACATCCCTCCATTTTTTTGACCAATAAGTCAATTAATATTACTAGATGTTCAAGTCTATTTAAAAGTTCTAGTTGAACTTGAAAATACTTCATGATCTAGTCTATTTAATAGAGCAATGTTGATGTTCAAGTCTATTTTTATCAATAATCCAATGTATTTTTATCAATAATTCAATGTAACTGGGTATTCAAGTCTATTTTCTTGAGTACTGTTGAGACAACACTTGGTGATCCAGTCTATTTTCGAGCACAATGTTGAGTAATGCGTTGTTCAGGTTTAGTCAACATGAAAAGCAAGTCTTTATACTGTGAGGGCCAGATATATTTCATGCTACTCTGTAACCAGGTTGGTATATCGCTTTGAGACGTGCCGTCAAGAATTACTGGAACACAGCGATGATTTCCTTTCTCTTTAAACTCGTCATAAATCAATTCATAAATGAACTTGGTATGTAAGCCGTCAGTGTTTATCTTGGCGTTGATATTTTCTTTATATTTTTTTGATGAACAAACTAACACAAAATCAGCCTGAAAATAAAAAAGAATCCAATTGTGAGAGATGCTGTTTTGTATGATCATTTGACTAACTTGGTGCTTGTGTCACAAACAATCGCAACGTGTCACAAACAATCGCAACGTGTCACAAACAATCGCAACACCAATTTACTGTGCTACTGGGCCCTGTTCCAAAAACAAAGTCGTACGATAAGAATTTGTTGTAAGCATTGAATAATACTTTTATATTTAGAAAGAAGATCGCTTGCCAGACAATGTAACAAACGCCCACTACCAGCTGTCAGAAATAATAACTAAGTCTTTAGTGGCTTTAATGAGATTTCAAATGATCTTAAAAATATTTTTAAGTCAAGGCAAAACCTGAAACAGTTCATTAAATTATCATCAAATTAAGACATGAACAAGATACCATCAATGTACACACAAGGGCAATAACTCTGAAACCATTCATCTGATTATTACCGATTTCGAAATTGATTGAGATCTCATCAATAAATATATATAAATATATATATATGTGCATACCAATTTTCATCAAGAACGGATAAAAACTGCTATTAAGTCAAGGGCAATAACTCCAAAACCGTTCATTTGATTGTTACAAATTTCAAAATGGACCAAGATCTCATCACTACATATCAGCATATCAAGTTTCATCTAGATTGGATAAAAACTGTAGTCTCTATAGTGCCTACAAGCCAAATTTCACACATTTTTACAAAGTCAAGGGTAATAACTCCGAAACCATTCATCTGATCATTACCAAAGTTAAACTTGACCTAGATACCATCAATAAATACATGCATACCATTGGATAAAAACTGTCTCTATTGTGCTTACAAGAAATGTGAATGGACGGATGGACAGCGGCGGCAGCAATATAATACATGTCCATATTTCCATGTGGGCGTATAAAATTTAACAAACCTCCTCAAATTTTCTTCTTATATCCTCTAAATTATCTTTTTTACCGTTTTCTTTATACACCATGTCGACAAAACAGAAAAATTTATTTTTCTCCAAACATTTACACAGATTTAAAACTCTCTGCATGTGTTTATCAGAATCATTTGAGTATGTCACAAACACTTTAATATTAAAAACTGAAACAATAGAAGCAAGTTCGCCATGAATAAGATACTTTAAACATAGAAATAATACAACAGAACTTTTCATTTTGTTACACTGAAGCCAATTAAAGAGATTGTAAAGTGGTTTTCTAAATTTTGTATGTGAATCGGGGACAATGATAGCATCAATTTGCACCATTCAAATTTTCAATCAGATGTCTGTGGTTCTTACAATTCTACTAAAACTAGTGTTTTATGACGTCACCCCCGCAACAGGTCTTATGTGATACAAACAAATTTTGTCAGGGTGATGTCATAAAACACTTAGTTTTAGTGGAATTGCTAGAACCACAGACGTCTGATTGAAAATTGGAATGGTGTAAATTGATGCTATCAGTGTCCCTGATAAGGATAAAAAATTGAGAAATCTTTTTTACAATCCCTTTAAAGCATCCTGTGCCAATCAACATTTTCTTATACTGCTGATATTACCTTTAAGAGGTAAAAACTGTGAAAAAGTTAATACAGTCAATCTAAGTCCTTGAAAGAAAATCTGTAAACATTATGGCTTAATGTTTACAGACTTACAGACTTTCTGTCGAGGACTAAGATTGGTTTCATTCGCTGTTGTACAATCCAATCAAATCGCTACATTCTGTTATACAAGAAAGGTGGCTATTGCAGTCAGGGTATTAGTATGACGTTTGTAATAGCCTGACATTGTGAAGATGTGGCTGGAATAGAACCTCTTCCTGCAAATGTATTGTCAACTCACCTCTTCTGAATTCAGCAGGTTTCATATTGTTTGGTAATGAAAGAGATTTTTTCATCATATTTTCTAAATGTTCTACATTACCATTGGCGTTACTCATCTGGTGGCCAGTTGACATGGATTTCATTCTCAGAATATTTCTTTCCTTCGAGTCCATTTTGTTGGCATTTCCCTCTCCTCCTGACCCAGATGATGATTCTCCATTTTTCTTGTTGTCAATTTTTCTTTCCGTCAGTTCACGGGGTACGTCTTTACGAACTCTTCCAATATCATTCACATCATTTCTGTTGACTTCAACTCCGTTAATTCTAATGTCGTCTGATATGTCATTTCTGACATCATAAGTCACATGACCATGTCGACGATTATTATTGGGCGATGCAGGATTTGATCCAGTTGATAACGAGTCATCATCCGAGATGTCACCATTGTACTCTGCTGATTGGCTGCGTACTGGTCGTGTATTGGTCGATAATAATGGATGACCTTGATTTTTGAAGATGGTTCTCGCTAATGGTGCTGGATCTTCCTGAAAATGATGACCAGGATCTGAAATCTCTCGACTGACTTGACGATCCGGATACATGGAATGATTAACTTCCAGACTGTGATATTCACGCCCTGGAATTTCTGGGTATCCATTGTTCACATTGTAAACGGGAGAAGGGGGGGATAATACAGGGTGACCATTACGTATTGGTGGAGGAGGCATTCCCACGAAGCCATTATGTGAATAAGAACGAGTGTAACAGTGGGGACTACAGCACTGGTTGCTAGAGTCAGGATGGTGACATACTTTAGGATTTTTTGGAGCACGCGGATGATGTAAAGGGGATCCGTGAGCAGTATACGGCGAGTCAAATGGAATTCCAGAATGAGACATGAAATAAGGGGACATAGAGGGCATATGGGCCATTGGAGGCATGTGGGTCATCATGGGCCATGCCCAGGGATGTGACCGGTAATAATCAGACGGGGTAAAGGGACTAAAACTGTTCTCCTCCCCTCTCTCTTCTTCTTCCTGTCTCTGTCGAGCAAATTCTTGGATTTCTGAAAAAAAGAATTAAATATCAAATGTAAAGGGTGAGAATCACCATCCTTTTAACAAATTGTACTTTAGTCTCAGAATTTTTTTAGCCAATCAGTAACAGTGTTCACAGATCACCGTTGAAATTTGAGCCTAGACAGCCTGGCTTGGCATCAGACAACTGTCTAGGCTGAATTCAAATTGAAAAATTGTTCAAGAAAATTTTCGAAAAACTGAATTGATTCGGTGTATTTTCGGGGCAAAAACGTATAAAAAAATGCTACTTTTGAACTTGACAAGGGTAAAGCTGGGGTGCAAACCATTTTTCTAGGGCTCCCCCCCCCTCCCCTGTAGTCACATTGGCACCACCATAAATTTGTATTCGAAGTTTGAAGAAACTATTAAAACTAACTAGGTACAGCCTCTAGTAGAATTGTATGGGCGTCAATTCGTGGCATCTCCTGTAAAGCTTTCAGAACTTTTTCCACACTGTTTCCAGGTTTTTTAATATAATTATTTAATAATTTAATTGTACTTCTTCCATCCAGGTGCTTCTGCTCTTCTATCACCTGTACAATGAATGAATGAATATATATGAATGAATAATTGTATGGATGAATGAATGAGCGAATAAGTGAATGAATGAATGAATGATTGAATGAACAAAAGAATGGATGATTGAGTGATTGAGTGAATGAATAATGGAATGGAAGAATGAATGTTTAAATGAATAGATGAATAATTGAAGGATGAATAAATGTTTGAATGGATGAATGAATATATTCAAATGAATAAAGTAGCAAAACCATGCAGTATGCAATGAGGGAAAATTTAGCCAAGACAGCAGCAATATCCTACACTTTTATATTTCCAACTGTCACAGAATCTTTAAATGGCCTGTAGAACATGGGGCCTTGATTTATTCTCCTATCCAAAGGACTAGACATTTTTCTATTGCACTATAATAAGTAAAATTGAAAATAAAAAAGAAATTGACCAACCTGGATCTCGTCTTGAGAATATCCCAATTTTTCAGCCAATAGTCTCCAGTCATTGCCAGTCACATGATTTAATGGATCCAGCTTATTGGCTAATTTAGTCAGGACTCCTGTTCCAACAAATTTAAACGGAATGTCCACTTCTTCTGACATTTTGGATGTTTGACCACGAATAACTGTAATGTTATTTCATATTTAACGAGTTGTTGCTGTTTTTTTAACACAAATTTTTTCCTAATTCTTCATTTTTTTCACTCTTAATCAGTCCATTACAACATCAGTCCTTTGCTGTGTACAATATCAATCTGCTACTGTATACATGTACTGTATTCTCTACTGTATTGTCAGCGCTTGATTTCTGAATATTATTTCCTTATCATCTCAAACCAATCTGCTCTGGTAGTCCTGAAAAAACAAGGACAGAATATTTTTCTAGTTTCATTTGATAAATTGATAACAAATAGATCTGTGTTCTATTTTCATAAAAATCTTATAGACATAATTTAGGCCTTAGTCTAATATTCAACACCTTAAACATTTTTGTATATTTTTATGAAAATGGCCAAATAATTCCAATTACCTTTTACAACCCTCTGCCCTTGTATACAAAAAATTAACTATAAAAGTTTGCTCAGCATTGACCAAGTAGATAATTTTGTACAAAAGCAAAGTGTTTGAAAATAGTCAATTGCCTGATGAAGACAGACAGAACCCTAATTCTGAAGAAATCGGTTTACCTTTGGCTTATACAAAATATATTCTACCTTACAAAGAAAAGTGTGATGTTTTATTGAGCCTGGAGATAAAACAGAAATAGTAATACATGTGATACAATCTGACTGCAAGCTATGATATTTACTACCAGAATCTCTATATGTCAAAAGGGCAGATCTAAATAAGCTTATTGTTATTTGTTGGAGAAACGGTCATCTTTTGTGAATATTTCTTTTATCAGCTGCTACAACGTTAGTTTTAGCTTGATGAAATATCGTACATTATATACACAGTTCAGTTGAAATTGAGTTCTATCAGCTTGGAAAGTAAATATTTGGACAACTATATCGTAGGTGACCGCTTGAAACTGCATATGACGATACATAACGCTAAATTAGTTTTACGAGCTTTCATGCACTACCAAAGTCAAACTGACTCAATATGGAATATATACGAGGTCATCCACTATATACAGATTTGACTGTATTTACCAGCCATGTCTGACTAGAGCTCCAAACTGTTGATTTAACTGTATTTACAGTCATATCTGACTAGAGCTCTGAAATGTTGATTTGACTGGTAATTACCAGTCATGTCTGACTAGAACTCTAGGATGTTGATTTGGCTGTATTTACCAGTCATATCTGACTAGAGCTCTAGGCTGTTGATCTAACTGTATTTACAGTCATATCTGACTAGAGCTCTGAAATGTTGATTTGACTGGTAATTACCAGTCATGTCTGACTAGAACTCTAGGATGTTGATTTGGCTGTATTTACCAGTCATATCTGACTAGAACTCTAGGCTGTTGATCTAACTGTATTTACAGTCATATCTGACTAGAGCTCTGAAATGTTGATTTGACTGTAATTACCAGTCATGTCTGACTAGAATCTCTAGTACTACTCTTGATTTAACTGTATTTACCAGTCATGTCTGACTAGAGCTCTAGGACTAGACTGTTGATTTGACTGTAATTACCAGTCATGTCTGACTAGAGCTCTTGGGCTAGACTGTTGATTTGACTGTAATTACCAGTCATGTCTGACTAGAGCTCTAGGACTAGACTGTTGATTTGACTGTAAATACCAGTCATGTCTGACTAGAGCTCTAGGACTAGACTGTTGATTTGACTGTAATTACCAGTCATGTCTGACTAGAGCTCTAGGACTAGACTGTTGATTTGACTGTAATTACCAGTCATGTCTGACTAGAGCTCTAGGACTAGACTGTTGATTTAACTGTATTTACCAGTCATGTCTGACTAGAGCTCTAGGACTACTCTTGATTTAACTGTATTTACCAGTCATGTCTGACTAGAGCTCTAGGACGAGACTGTTGATTTAACTGTACTTACAGTCATATCTGACTAGAGCTCTGAAATGTTGATTTGACTGTAATTACCAGTCATGTCTGACTAGAACTCTAGGATGTTGATTTGGCTGTATTTACCAGTCATATCTGACTAGAACTCTAGGCTGTTGATTTAACTGTATTTACAGTCATATCTGACTAGAGCTCTGAAATGTTGATTTGACTGTAATTACCAGTCATGTCTGACTAGAATCTCTAGACTGTTGATTTAACTGTATTTACCGGTCATACCTGACTAGAACTCTAGACTGTTTATTTGACTGTATTTACCAGTCATGTCTGACTAGAACTCTAGGCTGTTGATTTGACTGTATTTACCAGTCGGAGTCCTTTCATTTCATTAATTGATACAATGATAGGGCCTACTATTTGTCTATAGACTATATGTCTGACCTGATGACATGACAGAGCTCTATGCTGTTGATTTGACTGTATTTACCACTCATGTCTGACTCGTCTTACTGTTCTTTGGAATCTTCGGAGACAGAATTTTCCAGGAACCGGAATGACATTTAATTTAGACCCCTCTGTCTGTGTCAAATGCAACGAAAACAAGTCGAACAACTCAGTCTCAACTCGAAATGTCAAGTGTCGCTTCGGTGATCATGTCCCCACAAAATTCGACAACATTTATAACCATAAAATCATGGTCGCAGCAAAACAAATATCAAAATTTACCTTAGCAAATGACAAACTTTAGACATCAAAAGCTTTCGCGAGTGTTAACCAGAACTACATTTTCTTCGCATTCACAAACACATCCTCGCCATTTTATTTTATCTAGTTCAAGAGTTGTTTGTTGAAAATATTCATCATATTCATGTAGTCGAGTTTAACAAGGTTTTAGCTGTAATTTCAATACAAATAGACGACTGGACAATCAGTTGAAACCGTGATTATCCAGTTGTCTTTTCTTCAGGATCTAACGTTGACTATTCGACTGGTTAAACCTGTCTATAGATAAATATTCTAGAAACACCACTAAAATAACTAGGCCAAGTAGGTCAACTACGATTCTTGGAAAACAATGATATCATGCCCAGAAAAAACTATTAAAGTTTTAAAAAATGATACGAAGAGTGAAGTAATGAACGATTTGTTACATATTTGGAGAAGAAACATGATTGTAAGCTAAAGAAAATGGCTGACAATGAAATGACAGAGCTTCAAAACGTTTATTAGCAGGTGAATTATACTGAATATATCTTGTTGATTTGAGTTTGACCTGAATAAAGGCTGAAATGGAGTAGACTAACACTTTGAGTTTCTTAGAAACTATTTCGACAATTGTCGAGGCTGCTTTCTTTGTTTGTTAGAATGTGATCCTATCCTAAAAATATCATAGCTAGCCCATTAAAAAAAATACTACCTCTTAGAATGAACATAAAATTTAAAGTCTTAAACTTGGTCAAAAAGTGTATGTTGATTTGTCCTTAAAGCCAAATACATATTTGGAACGCTGTTCTAAGCATGTTTCAAAATTATTTAGTTTAATGAATTTCTACTAAGTTTTATGGATGTTTTGGATTATAAAGGAATTCTGTCATATAGTTTGGATACCAGAAAAGTCCACTGATGAACAAAGACTCATTTTAACCAAGTTTAAAAAGTTCAATTTTTTCCAACAACGGTATGGATAGGATAAGACACAATAGTCATGTTAGTTTTCTTTTTTTTCAAAGCGTGAAGCCATTTTGATTGTCAAGAATGATATTAAGTGACTTCGTTAGGGTTAGGTAGGGATGGCCATAATTATGTTTTTTGATGCCCATTTTTGTACCATTGCAGTGCAAATAGCCTTGGCCATTTATTTAACTAAAACTATTAATATAGTTTGGGCCGTGTTTCACTTGTATTAGAGACAAGGTTTTTTACTTTTACAGATAGATAGTCTTTTTGCAGTGGTGCCCGACCTTCTTCAGTTCTCACACCCCAGGGGCTGGAGCATGTTAGATCCCTTTCAACACCCAAAATAACTAGGTTGGCTCAATGGGAAAGGGGCACAACAAGAAGGGGGCAAAATGAAATAGGGGCAAAATGGGAAAGGGACTTTATGGGAGGGGAGGAAAAAGGGAATGAATTGGGAATAAACACTTTCAACTGTTATACATGCACTGATTGAAAAACATGCATCAGAAGTCATCAACTATATAAATCTCCAAACATAAATTCTTCAATTACAACCACACCCCGAAAATCAGTCAAGCATGGTAAATTCCACTCATGACAAATCCTGTTGATGAAAATGAAGATTTTTGTGTGTGAAATCGTCAAATCGAGCCCAAAAGCTGAATTTTCAGCATTTCAAAGCTTTAAGAGCATATTCTTTGTTGTCTTGTCTGAAAATATTTTCACTGTGCTCAACACATCACTTGTTGAGCCATAATATTAAACAAATAAGCTTATTAAATCTTTCATGTACTGTTTAAATATTTTAGATTTAAATGGCATATGACTAACTGGCACGTAATCAAAAATGGCGTCTGCAGAAGGGGACCGACTCAATGGGTTAAGAATATTGACTGCAAAATTTCCGAAAGAAAATCCAGATCTAGCTCCAATAGTGAATCTCATGTTCATACCACCAAAAGTTTTGCATGAATTCATTCTTCTCCTGAATATCAAAGATGATATGGGGGCAACGAGAGATTATCAAGGTTTAGGCAACCATTTTGGATTAGATATGTTCGAGGTTCTAGTAAGTATTTAAAGATATTGTAAACCTGTTTTCTAAATTTTGTATTTAGATAGTATTAATTTGCAGCATTCTAATTTTCAATCAGACCTCTGTGGTTCTTGCAATTCTACTAAAACTAAGCGTTTGATGACATCACTAATCTTATGTGCTATATCGCTTAGGACTTCGTAAAACGCTTAGTTTTAGTGGAATTGTAGGAACCACGGACATCTGATTGAAAATTGCAAATGGATACTATCAGTGTCCCTAATACACATAATGTTTTTAGAAAACCTTGTTCCAACCCCTATAAATCTATCTATATCTCATAGGAAATAACTACCAACATCTACATTGTTTGTAAAGCTGGAAGCAAACATTAATACATTATTAGCTATGTGGACTCTCTGAAAGTTGCTATTTATAGCTCTGAACTGGAAGGCCTAATGTTAAGAAGGGGAGTAACTCAGCATATTGTTTTTCAGAATATTGAACGTTGTCCTTACCCAAACGCCACAGCAGTGCTGTATGAGGGGGTGAAAAAAGGAAAGAGTTACTTGGACTTGTTGGTGTTTTTAGTTGAGAATGATGTTGATAGACTTGACTTGCTTTTAAAAGCTTGGCCAGGTTTGTTTTCTTTTTTTACTGGGAAATCTTGAAATATAAAGGGAGTGAGTCGTTGAAATATTTGAGATACCAGCTGAGTTATGTTAACCCTCGTTATGTACATCATAACTTTATGACAATTTGAAAATTGGTTGACAGTTATTGTATTGATGCTAATAACCAATCAAATTTCTAGTTTGGTGCCGGACTTGTCAGTTGTTGGTTTGCTCAGAAATATATCCAGAGATCTCAGACTTCCTATTAGAGGAATTTCTCTACTTTTTTGGCCGATAATATTTTTTTTATTTTCAAATAAAACCACTAAAATTTGGGATGAAAAGATTTCTGTATATAGGAAATGACTAACAAAGTATCTTAGAAATGAAAATCTCCACAGTGGCCTCTCTCTCAGCTGATATTTTGCAATTGCTCTATTGGGATCCCTGAGCTCCTGAGCGACTCTTAGATTCTACCAGTTGCAAAGTCGAGCTGAACACCTGGTGCTCCATTGGAGAGTTCTCAACAGTTTCCATCTGTGTTAAAATGTACACTAATTTTTCCAAATGACTTTCTTTTGCTTAGTTATAAACAGCACAATAGTTAAAACATTACTTTAGCCCTGGTCCAGTGCCCTGTATAAATAACTTGTTACTCTCAATCACCCAAGACAAATGACTACTGTAATATATTTTTTCCCCTTTTCAGCCACTTTGAGGGCATATCAAGATTATGAAATGAGTCAAGTTCAAAGTCACTATCCAGGTCAAAGGCACTATCCAGGTCAAGGTCAGGTCAGGGGTCAACTTCAAAATACAACACAATTAGTGCCAACACAAGCTTCTTGGAATTGCTCGTCCTCTGAGGTTTCGTCTGATCAGTGTAGTTTATCACAAAATGACCTGAATTATGCTGAGTCTGTATTCAGTAATATTGAAAACAATCACTATCCGTCCACTATTTTATCAGATGAAAATACAGTCGAGAGAGTGTCAGACTGGATTAATGGGACTGCCCAACAATCATCCAGTCGTAACACTAGAGTTCAAGGTCATAGACAACCAGTTGAAATAACTGACAGCATTGAACTCTCTGTGTTGAATATTTCTCCACAACCAAGGTTAAACATTCAAACAAATCGAGGAACCTCAAATACTGATCCTGAAGTCGTGTCCAATACAAGAGATTTAACCCTTGAAGACGAGGGTTATGTGGATGGTAACCAAACTTTTTCTAAAAGTATTGAAGCTGACTCGAGAAACCCCAACATCGTAGCAGTCACGGTCCATCGTGAGGATACAGACACTCCTCTTCCTATTAGCAACACATTAGATGAGACAGATAGTCAGGGATTCTATCCACCATCTTTAATACCCTCTAGCTATCATATCGATGAAAGACCAGGAATGAACCAAATCAATGAGGAGGAATCGGTCACTCAGAGTTTTATTCCACCAAGTTTTGTCAGTGGGACAATGACCTCTGACCTTCAACCCGATGCAGAGATCATCTTAGGTGGAGAAGCCAATTATTATTCCAGACCCTTGCCAAGTATTTCGGGTAAGGCTTAAAAATTATATACATTACAATATTGGTTATAAAATATTTTCACTGTTAAAATTGTGCTCAATACATCAATTGTAGAGTGATATAGAAATACCACTGTTAAAATATTGCTCAATACAACAATTATAGAGTGATATAGAAAAATCACTGTTAAAATAGTGCTCAATACATCAATTGTAGAGCGATATAGAAATTTTCCTTCTGCTTCTATTTATTTTTTATGTAACTGTCACTCCTATATGTTGGTTAAATCTGATATGAAAATCATATGAAATGGACAGACTCGCCACTCGTTTTACTAATCATGCATAAGTCTCAGAAACGAAAAGTTCCTGATTAAGCTAATCAATTATAGTGTTCTCAGCTCACCGTCAAAATTTGATCCATGTGTGTTCAACATTAGCCGTGTTTAGATTTGAAAGTTAAAAAGACGACTTGTCCTTCTTGAGACTCTACTTTATATAGAAATAGAAAGTAAAATTCCTAGTTTTTTATAAGCCCACATGAAAGACTGGTTTTAAGCTGAAGTAAAAAAATGATTTATATTTCAGAAAAAGGAAGACCTATACGAGTTTTGGTGACCGCCGTCAGTGATGAACTTACCTCAAGTATTGTTCAAAATCTAGTGCGAGATCTCAGCAAACATGATATTGGCTACGTGGCATATCTTCGTGAGGAACTGAAAATCAATCCACCGCCCAGTCGAGAAGAACTCAGCAGCATTCGGTTGCAACACAAAACCTGGTTGAAACAGATATTTACACAGGTAATTATGACTTTATCTATTGTATGAGTAAAAGTAAAAAGTTTTTTTTACATAGTTAAAGAAGCAAACAATACATAAATATGCTATGACAGCGTTATTGATAAGACTGTCTGTATGAACATAATGAAACATTGAGTTAATAAACGTTAGAAATAGTATATCTATATATCTAGTGATTCTATATAATATTTGATAACACTGTCCGTGTGAGCAAGTGTAACATTGAGTTAGAAATAGTATATCTATATATCTAGTGATTCTATATAATATTTGATAACACTGTCTGTATGAACATAATGAAACATTGAGTTAATAAACGTTAGAAATAGTATATCTATATATCTAGTGATTCTATATAATATTTGATAACACTGTCTGTATGAACATAATGAAACATTGAGTTAATAAACGTTAGAAATAGTATATCTATATATCTAGTGATTCTATATAATATTTGATAACATTGTCCGTGTGAGCAAGTGTAACATTGAGTTAATAAATGTTAGAAATAGTATATCTATATATCTAGTGATTCTATATAATATTTTGATAACACTGTCTGTATGAACATAATGAAACATTGAGTTAATAAATGTTAGAAATAGTATATCTATATATCTAGTGATTCTATATAATATTTGATAACATTGTCCGTGTGAGTAAGTGTAACATTGAGTTAGAAATAGTATATCTATATATCTAGTGATTCTATATAATATTTGATAACACTGTCTGTATGAACATATGAAACATTGAGTTAATAAATGTTAGAAATAGTATATCTATATGTCTAGTGATTCTATATAATATTTGATAACACTGTCTGTCTGAACATATGAAATATTGAGTTAATAAATGTTAGAAGTAGTATATCTATATATCTAGTATAAATATTAAAATGTATATTTTATGTGTTTGCTATTTTTCAGTGTGACTGCGTCATAATGGTGGCAACAGAACATTATCTTGACTATGTAAAACCAAAATTTAACCTAAAAGATTTTTTACATCGAAATAATGAGACCAATCAACATCATCGCGAGGCACAAAAACAGATTTACAGCATGGTGGAAAAAAGGTTTAGTAAGAAGGGTGCAGCTTCTAAAGAACTTATCCCTGTTCTGATTAATGGAAGTAAACAAAGTGATGTTCCTGATTGGATAAGAAATCGTTGTCTTCTGTTTAAATATGACAACGAACCAAAATCAGTATTTAGTCATTCTACCCTCTATCAATTCCTCACATCCCAAGTTGGTGTAAACCCAGTCTGATTCAAATTACAATTCTGTATTTTTTTTTATTTTTATGATATTTTTAGTGTAAATTGTAATCTAAGAAAATTTCTACTAAAGGCCTGTTCCAAAGGTAGTATTTTTAACCAATCAATATCCCACAATTCCTTATTTTATCGAGATACGGGTTCTACATTACATGCTTAAATTGGATAAGAAATAATCTCATAGGGAAGGGTCTTTGGTTAAAAAAAACTATAAAACAATGGAGACCAAAAATATCAGGAAAAAGAAAAAAGATACAAAATGAAATCTAATATTGATAAGATTGGCATAACCCACCTACAATGGCTGGTACATAATGTCTCAAAAAAACTTGAGTGGCATCTCTAAAATGACATTTTTGTTTTTACTGATTCTGATATATCATTTAAAGACTTGTTATTATATTATATTATATTTTCTTCTGTGTATTTGAATTCTAATGAACACTAGACTTAACACTATCTCTACCAGTTCATATGAATGAAGAAAGAACTATTAAAGCGCCTTAACACTAGGACTGATGTGTTTTGTTGGAAATATTCTATTATTTTGTGTTTTTCCACAGGTAATTGAAATTGCATTAAAAAAACTATTTCATAGAAAATTCCACTACTTCCAGTTTTCTTAACATTCCTAGACTCATATTATTATATATGTGTTATGGTTGATTTTATATTTTATTTTGATCAGGCTACTTATGTTATGTTTTTTAAATCTTCAGATTTTCTTGTTTCAGCATATAAAAGCATTTATTTAAAAGCTATAGTTGATTTTGAAAGTTTTACCACTACTATGTTCTTAAAATCATTATTTCTTTTTGTGTTGGCATGGAAAAGGCATATATTTACAGTGCGTATCTTAAGATGTTTATTGAATATCCTCATGTCCTCCATGGTTGTGATGGTAGGTATTTTATTTTTATTTTTGAGACATTCCGGTGATGTTATATTTTTTATAACTTGTGTATATTTATCAGTTGTTTATATATAAACATTTATTTAGATTTTTTTGAACCCATGTGAAAAATTTGCTTTCAGTTAATGATGACCTACAAATTTCTTAAGTGATTTCTGATGACTTAATGAAGGCCTAATGATGTAATCTCCTGTGATAACTTGGTTATATGGCGTATGAATACACAACAACTTTCAACTAAAAATGTACGAGATGATGGAACATGAACGATGAACTTTCAAAAATGATTTTTCATTCGTTTGCAAAAACGACTATATCAACCTTGCGGTATTTTATTTATGTTGTTGTGTATTCATACTTTCATAGTCAACCTAGCGACGTAGGGGCAGGGCTTAAAGTTAATTGACAGGAGTTGTGTTGCTGTTTGTTTCACTTTTCTGACAATAATGATAGGTTTCACTATATTAGGACAATAATTTTATCCTTAACCAATCATAAATGTCCATGTATAAACAGTCTGGATAAACAAAAAAAAAACTTTTCGACCTTTCTTGATCGGTCACTCATTGGAATTCTACTGGTAATTCTCTTATAATTTAGCTAATTATAAATTAATTATGGACATGTGAGACAAACTGGTATTTTTCCAAGTCATTAGAACACCTCTACTCTATTTATATAAGTATTAGCATTTTCATTTTCATAAGGGAGGCCATCTTTAAGCCATTAATACAACCTCTATTAGCTTTTAGATATATTATTAACCAATCATATTTCTGTATAATATTAAGGCCTGTTATATTGGTATTAATGGTTGTGTTTATTGAGATATTTTGGATGAATTTTATAATGGTTATATTATATTTTTGATACTATTATTTTATATATTTGATAATTAGGTGTTGTGATTTTGATATATCTATTAAACTGAAAAATAGGGGTCTTCCCTTGAGGTCCATCTTCACAATGTCCAGCTATGAGGAATTCGTCTTACACCTTAATTCAATAGCCACCTTTCTTGTATCACAACAGTTTGTAAATGCTGCAATTTGGTGGATTGTATGCTAGTGAATACAGCCAATCAGAGTCCCTAAATAATAAGCTATAATGTTAACTGTTTGTCGAGGGATATGACAGGCTCTATTTGCTGGCACACAATCCAATGTAATGGCTGAATTCCATGATACGAAAAATGTGGCTATTGCAGTCAATGTATAAGTTAACTATAGCTTGACATTATGAAGATGTCGAAAGTCAAGTAAGCAAAATTGTGTTTAGGCAACTTCAGCTAATTTTGTGTAAATATTGCTGGTCTGTCCTGAATGAATTAACATCAAGGAATACGCAAAGTGCTATGTGGAAAATTTTATTTCAAGTTGACTTCTACCAAAGACCTCCCCCTTATTTTTTGAATGAATTAACCTGCTGGTGCATACTGTCAATCAAAATTATTTAGTGTTATGTATGTTTGGAAAAGTTCACTTTAAGTATTAGGGGTGTTTTTGTTATCTTTCAAATCTTATGCAGCTAAATTAGTTAAGAAAAAAGTTTTGTATGTAAAAATATTTTTTTACGCCCATCAAACTGTGAATAAATTGAAGGTTATATTTTTCCAATTTTGTTTTCAATCACCGAGCATGAGATTGTACTGTATTAAAACTTGCCATTTTATTTTCATTTTAAACCAGTTTTAAGGGAGTGGGGCAATTGGAACAGAGGCAATTTGTATTTTCATATCTAAGACTATGGGGTGTTATGGGCTACAGAACCCCACTTCACAAAAAAAGTATGATAAATTCTGATGCAACAATTGCCTACAATGTGGGTCAGACTAGTAGTTCAGCAGAGATTGATTCATTTACAGTGTCATTGTACAAAATAAAAAAGAAATGAGCTCTCTGGGCCTGAGTACAAAATCTGATCGACAAGGCTGCTTTCAACCAATTATGGCACCAAATGACCCCATCTTTTCAAAGCAAGAAAGATTTCTGCTTTTATGATTTTCAGCATCCCCACCCCCTCAATCAAAAAATGTGTGTTTTTTCTCGAGAACCAGCACCGCATATTAAGATGTCAGCCGCACCCCTAGAAGTGGGCGCACCTTTTTCTCAGAACCAGCACAGTATATTGTTGTCAGTCCCACCCCTAGATGTGGTCGTACCATCCCTTTAAACCACTCAATGTTGACAAAAGCGAAAGATGTTATTTCCTACTTTCTGATTGGTCCATATTATATTAAGGTCAAAGGTTAAAAACATGGCGTGACGGAATAAATTGATTGAAAGTCATCTTCATTCTTCTTTCTTTCTGCTCCTAGTCACTTGATTCGTAAACTTTTAATCAAAATGGCGAGTACGATGTTCAGACCGTTGGGATTTAAAAAGGTACAGTAAAATCTTTCTGAATAACCAATATCTACTATGTTTTCGAAAAGAAAGTCCCGCTAATCTGGGAATCTGAGTACTATTAATAGACTGCACTCTGACTTGATGTAAAGCTTAGTGCAATAATAATAATAATAATAATTTTATTGGCCATGCTTAAAAACACCTTGCTTGTATGGAGTTTTATTTTATACAGACAATTGTCACCAAACGAAAGACAACAGAAAATTTTCTGAAATGTGGCCATTTTCTGTCCGAAATGTAGATCATTTTCAGTCCGAAATGTGGGTCATTTTCAGTCCGAAATGTAGATCATTTTCAGTCCGAAATGTGGGTCATTTTCAGTCCGAAATGTAGATCATTTTCAGTCAGAAATGTTGGTCATATTCAGTCCGAATTGTGGGTCAATTTCAGTCCGAAAGGTGGGTCATTTTCAGTCCAAAATGTGGGTCAATTTCAGTTCGAAATGTGGGTCATTTTCAGTCCGAAATGTGGGTCATTTTCAGTCTGGGTTGTGGATCATCCTTTTCAAGAGAAATTTCTGGGAAGACAAATGACATGCGATTGAAAATTTATTTTGATCATTAACCGTTTTGCAGACAGTCAGTGTATCTTTTGTTTACTGAATTTGACACAGTTTCAACATGAGTTTGTGATTTTCTTTTAAAATACTTCTTTTTTTAAATTTCAGAGCTCCATAATTACTACCGTCTGCTCAAGATGGATTTCCATGGAAACAACTTCCACCAAACGCATTGATACCAATCTTTTACTTCAAACTGCATCAACGACGGGTTCCAAACGTCCACTGGTCATTCTATTTAGTTGGTTGTTGGCGAAAGATCGTCATATAGCCAAATATAGAAACTTATACACCAGTCAGGGATTCGATGTTTTGAGTATCCGTGTCAGCCCCACGGAAGTTCTGCAACCCAAAAAGGCTCAGGACGTTATTAAAAAAACTCTTGGAATTTTACAAGAAGCGGAGCAGAAATTGAAGCCTTTGGTCATCCATGGTTTTTCAGTTGGAGGATATGTTTGTGGTGAGATGATGGTCGAGTTGGAGAAAAATGCAGAAAAATATTTCGATGTTCGTCAGCGATTATTGGGTCAAATTTTCGATAGCCCTGTCGATTATGAAGGGGTCCCTACAGGATTTGCTAATGTTTTATCCAACAACAAAATGATTCAAAAACTTTTGAAAGTTTCGATTGAAAGTTACTTAAAATTGTTCAAAAACAGTGTAACAAAATATTATATGGCATCGTCAGAAGCTTTTCATAACAACTCTCTAGAGTTACCTTCCTTGATGTTGTATTCAAGAGCGGATCCTATCGGAGTGGACAAAAACATTGAAACAGTGATGAAAAAATGGAAAGCAAAGGGCCTGCCTGTTCAGACCCGCTGCTGGCAGAATACACCCCACGTTAGTCATTTTCACCATCATCCAGATGAATATGTTGAATCGATCCTTACATTCATGGATTCAATCGGCCTGGGATCAGTCCATACACCTAACAAAGATATTTTCGAAGAAGAAAAAGAAAAGTTTACATCTAAAATGAGGAATTGAAGAGGACAGATTTTGTTTTACATATAAGGTATCAGGACCCTGTTTCTCAAAATTTGTACGACTAAGTTTGCAAGTTAAGTGATGAAAAAACGTTATTTTTGATGTTATCAAATGGTTAGTTTATAACGTTTACGCTAGTACATTAATCTGCGATATTTTGAGAAAAAGGGGTCTAGGGCTGTTGATTTTATTGAATTTACCAGTCATGTCTGATTAGAAGTTTAATAAGCCTGTGTAGATAATGAGTTTTCGCACCAGCTGATTTAATGTCTTAGTACAGTATCTTTGTCTGGTATCAAACATCTTCACAATGTTGAGCTATTACAAACTGTTTCTAATAACATGACTGTAATAGTCACCTTTCTTGTATCATGGAAGTTTGTAAATGCAGCCATTTGATTGGATTGTACGCTAGTGAATACAGCCAATCATACCCTTCAACAGATAGTCTGCAAACAATTAGCAATAATTGTTACAACTCTGATTGGCTGTATCCTATCAATCGCCTGTATTTCATGATACAAGAATAGTGTCTATAACAGTCAGGGTATTAGACTAAGTTCGTAATAGCCTGACATTGTGAAGATAGTATCCTATTTGTTGTGACAATTTAAAGTCAATGCACATATTTAAGCTTACAATTCATGGACCTCATTTGACCTAGACAGTTTGATTGCTTAACGATGGTTCTTGTATCAAATTTAAAGATGGTTTTGGCTGTCATGTAAAATTAAAGACATTTTTTCACATTTATTTTCAAGAGAATTAATAACTGGTACTACCTTGCCAATTTGCAATTTGAATTTTGTATTAAATGTTATACATTTGATATTAAGCATGTTCCCATTTGTATATATAGTTACGTATTGTATATTGTTGTTATTAAGAATTGGATTGACTAAGGCTGAGGTTCCCAACCTTTTGAATGTAGCGCCCATATTCCAGAAACCGGCATCTGAACGTGACCCTTCAATGTAAAAACAAAGTTTCACGTTTTACTCAACATTATCGTTGAATATTTGACAGCAAATTATTGATTAATGTCATGGTTGTGCCTGTTTCCCAGCGATAAGTTATGCAATGTTTGGCTCTTCACCACTCAGCGCAATAATCATGTCCTTCTTTTTCCTGGTAATGTTATGATTACATTTTTTCACAAACCATGTTGATTTTCAAAAACGTTTACAGACTAGTCCACAACCCCAAGAAAAGTGCTTCGAGACCCAGAGGTTGGGAACCCAGGCACTGAAGTTTGCTACCCTTTTACAATAAACCTACTGGAATTTGTCACCTCGTATTTTGGACCAAGATCATAAATTTTCATGATGTCAAATGATTCAATATGACTTTGGGAAACCTCTCTCGTATGAAAAAGTTCATTTTAACATGATTGATCCAATATGAAGGTTTGCTCCATTTTACATAAACCTATTGCAATTTGTCACCTCGTATTTTGGACTGAGATATATAATATTCATGATTTTTAAACGGGCCAATCAACATGAATATTGGCAAATCCTTTGGTATGAAAATGGTCATTTTTGCTAAATGATTGTTATAAATTCTAGTCACTTTTACATAAACCTTTTGGAATTTGTCATGTCAATGTATTTTGTTTTTGGACAAAGTTTATGATTATGACTATCTTCATAATTTCAAGCTATTACGAACATTCTTGTATCTTAGAAGTTTGTAAATGCAGCAATTTGATTGGATTGTACAGAAAGTACAAAAAGTCTGTAAACAATAAGCCATTATGATTAGTCTTTCTGTTCAGGCCTTTTATTGGCTATATTCGCTGGTGTACAATCCAATCAGATCACTGTATTCAATGATACCAGAAAGGTGGCTATTGCCAAGGTATAAGTCTAAGTTTGTAATAGCACATTAACAGTGTGAGGTTGGTTTCCTGGATATACCAGTAAGTTTAGATAGTGGTCAATATTTGATCAAGATATAACGGCAGCAAATATTTAGCTCAGAATACTGTAGTTTTAATTGTTTGACATTGTTTACTTAGATATTTATATAATTTTTAACAAGTTACCATGGTAATAATGTTGAATATTTGTTCGTATTTATCACAATATTTAGTTTATTTGTACCACCTAGTACAAGATTTTGACCTGTTAATTTTTAAATGGCTTATATCAATCCAGAAAAGAATTTTTAAAGGGTAGAATAGTTAGATCTTAGAAATAACTGACAAAATGAAATTTAGAAAAACCTGTCTCGTGATTTTTTTGTTGTTATACACAAGCTTGTTGAATGCTGGTAAATAACCCACAGAAAAAAAAGGAAACAAAGTTATTGTGATCTACATTTTACAATAATGAAATATTTTCACTGTTAAAATAGTGCTCAATGCATCAATTGTAGAGTGCTATAGAAATACCACTGTTAAAATAGTGCTCAATACATCAATTATAGAGAGATATAGAAATACCACTGTTAAAATAGTGCTCAATACATCAATTATAGAGTGATATAGAAATACCACTGTTAAAATAGAGTTCAATACATCAATTATAGAGTGATATAGAAATACCACTGTTAAAATAGAGTTCAATACATCAATTATAGAGTGATATAGAAATACCACTGTTAAAATAGAGTTCAATACATTAATTATAGAGTGATATAGAAATACCACTGTTAAAATAGTGATCAATACATCAATTGTAGAGTGATATAGAAATACTACTGTTAAAATAGAGTTCAATACATCAATTGTAGAGTGATATAGAAATACCACTGTTAAAATAGAGTTCAATACATCAATTGTAGAGCATTCTACATTTTATTAAGATTGTAAATATTGATGTTATTGAAGGTTAATTAAATCCAAACCAAAGATAATATATACCAGTGATTCTATGTTATTAAAATGTATTTATTTATTAGTGCTTATTGTAATGAGATGAGATCTATATGTCCATTTTAATTAAATTGTTAATTTTATGTTATTGACGTGTTATCGATTCAAAGGTGAAACGTGGGTCATATTTTCAAAAACAAATCAAGATTTTATGAAATAAAGTAATCTGATTGGATGATAAAACTAAATTTGAATTGATTTCAGTGATTGACCAATCAGGTGTTTGGAATACTTAAAATTTCATAAGATACTTTTTTAGAATAAGGCCCCTGATTGGATAGCTTAGCTAAATTTAAAATCGATTTTAGCGATTGACCAATCAGTTGACTGAACCCTAAAAGCTTCATAAGTTACCTTTTTGAGAATAAGGTCCTTGATATAAATGAATTAAAAATCGATTGACCTATCAGAGGACTAGAAAACTAAAACAAGGTCCAGGGGGTCCTATTCTTGATAACTTAAATTAATATTAATTGCATCAAATCACTCTTGAAAATCAAAGTAAAATTCACTCATGTTATTGATACCTCAGATTATGTTTATAACCCAGCACTATTTTCCTTTAAAAATCCACCTTGTTGTTTGTTAGAATTGATGGTTGAATTAAAGGGATTATAATGAGGTTTTCTAGTGACTGTTATAACATAATTGGCGTCACCCATGTCCTTCTGTCTGTCTGTCTTTCCACAATTGATCGTATATACTCAGAATGCACAATTCTTGAAGGCGAAACTTGGTGTTAGTGTTAATTATTTTTTAAAAAGTTTGAAAGAAGTGTACGATTTTTGTTTGAATATTTCATACTGGTGATTGTTATAGTACTGCACATTATTTTTAATCAAATTCAAAGCTACCAGTGGGCATATTATATTACCAGGCCTGGCAAGCTATGTTTATGTATATCAGGGAAGCTAAGGCAGCAATTTGCACCATTCCAATTTTCAGTCAAACGCATGTCTGTGGTTCTGGAACTTCCACTAAAACTAAGCGTTTTATGATGTAACCATCACAAAGGCCCTTAGATATTATTATCATTATTGCTTTGATGACATAATATAATTCAAATTATTTCAGGAACTCCAGACAAAGGACATACATTTTAAGGTGTAAATAGAAGCAATTAGATGGATGTGATACAAAGAAAATTGCTAGAAAACCAAGTATAGTCCCTTTAATCTAAAATCTTGGTAAACCTAATAGATATCTACTGGGTGACCTGACTCAGTGTTAATA